GACGAATTTCATCCGAATGGATGCCGCCGGACGCCTGCTATAATGTTGGGACAGGTCGGATTAGTTTTGTAAATTGATCAGGTGGCTTAGCGCCTGGTCTGATCATTCGGCCGGTGGCCTTGGTAAGTTCTTGGTGAACGTAGGTGCTAAGTCAAAGAAGGGTAGCCGCCTGTTAGGCACAGGGTCGGCCAGGCCCTAATCTTTTTAGCTAAGTATTGTGAGTAAAATACTCAATGGAGAGTAGCCGACTGTAAAGGAACAGACGGCATGCCCCTCTGAAGATAGAGTGAAAAAACTCAATGGAGAGTAGCCGACTGTAAAGGAACAGACGGCATGCCCCTCTGAAGATAGAGTGAAAAAACTCAATGGAGAGTAGCCGACCGACTGTAAAGGTACAGACGGCATGCCCCTCTGAATCAGTATCAAGTGGAGGACGGTCTTCAGCATGCTTGATAGATTGTCACACAAATAAGTGGAGGACGGTCTTCAGTAGGGTGCCGCCTAAACAGCCGGTTTTACTAACCTTAGGCTTTTTTTTTTTTTTTTTTTTTTTTTTTTTTGACTTGCAATCATAATAATGATAATGTGCTTATGGTGACAACTCACACATAAGATGAGACTTCCTGAACAATCATGCGGCAAGTTTTATACGATATGCAAGGCGTCAAGCCCCTCACATGCTTGCAATGAACAAGCAATCGGCTACTCTTTGGGTTTTGAGGCCGGCTGCTTGAGCTACGACGCTTTACATGCCGCCTGCTCAAGCTTCACATCCGGCCAAGCATGGTGTCGGTCTCCTTTGGTGGTTGATCAAAGAGAGCTGGCTCTCTCATAGCACCAAGATACGAGGGGGTGTTTTCAATAATCATTTGGCATGCCGCCTGTCTATTGCCGAGCCACTTGTATATAGCTTGCATATTCACAGGTGGCTTATTATGCCGCTTGTGTTTCTAATTTCATCTTCAGTTTTCCACTCAGCAAGGAGTCTATCAAACATACGGCTTTCGCCCCTTGCTTGTGCTACTGTCGGATGCTTTAATCATAGGTGCCCATGCTCCACCTTGTACTTTGTCGATGATTTCAAAGGCCGGCTGGTTCTGCCGTGATGTGCCGGCTGTTTTTTAATTGCCGTATAGCCTGACTTGTGATGGTAGCGAGAGCCGCCTGTATAGATGGCGGGTGGCTGGCTGCTTGTGAGCTTGAATGTTACCGGCTGGTTCTATCAAAATAGCAAAGATCATAAATATGCTCGCATGTCGGGCCGTTATTGTTTCTCTTGCTTTGAACCTGAAGTAAACCGAGCACAATGGAGCTTTGCGTATGGCCGCCTGCTCTCATTAAAGGCAGGAGATGCTTTGTTATTAAGGTCAGCTGCTCAAGCTCGAGCTAGTTGATTTTGCTTGATCCCGCTGGGCATTATTTAGACCAAAGTGATCTGAAAAACATGAAGACCCATGTTATCTCACGCATGGCTTGATGCGTTTGCTGTGGATGCCGCTTGCTTGGCTGCCGTTTGTAGGATTATTGAGTGTCGGTTGAGACCATTGACTTAGCTTGTTTTGTGACCGGCTGCCTTGCTTTTGTCTTGATGGTGTAGTTCAAACAAACTTGGGTTGGTTTGTAATCATGATGGCTTCGTTTGATATGTCGCTTGTTATTACAAGTTTAGCCAATCATGCCACCCATCACAAAGTTGGGCAAGACATGCCGCCTGCTTCTTCAAGTATTTGCCCATTCAAATACTCCTCCATGTGCTAAACTCTCCAAGATAATGTGCCATGCCGTCTGTCTATACTCAGCCTTGCACATTGAATGGATTTAATGACCGGCTGATTAAAGGTGGGCTTTTACGTGCTTGCTGATGTTTGAAACAAGCATGGCCACACCCGGCTGCTCATAATCTTGGCTGATATTCTCCTAGCAGCTCGCAAGAATTGAGACATACACGCGTGTGTAGGCTATATGCTTTTGAAATGAAGTCATTGTATTCAAATTTCGGCATCGAATAGCCGAATATTCATGCGACTGTTGAGACAGCCGCTTGTTTTTAGAGTCAAATTCAAGACTATCACATACATAAGCCGGTGGTTACGGCTGTTTGCTGGGCAGGTGCCGCCTGCTTCATCTTTAAACATGGCCGTCTGTTTATTGCAGCTGCTGCCGCCTCTTTCGGCTTTTTACGAAGCTTTCTTACCTCCAGGCTGTACATGTGATTGCTTGTTTGCCCAATGTACCACCAAATGCTTAGAGTTAGCCGACTGTTCACCTCATCCCAACACAGCCAAGTTTAAGATACCTGACCGGCTGTTTTTAGCATGTTGACGTACTTAGCCAAAATCGTTGTGATGGCCGGCTGTTTAAGTGCGTTGGTGATTTAAGTAGCCCCTGACCACTGGCAGCCAGCTTGTAGCATAGAGGAAGCCGCATGTATGCTCATACATTTAATCTCATTCGAAGCTTTGGCGTTGAATGGACGAATGCTCAGGAAGCTAAATGTTTATACAGCCGGTTGTTTCCACATTCCACCATAATAGCCGGTTGCTAGTTTGCTGGATACACAACGAAATGCGTAAAGATGGCCGACTGTATTATTTGCCTAGTGTCTGAGCTATCCACATAGTGCCGGTTGACTTGCTTATTATGCATTGTCTAACAAAATTCGAAGATTGCTTTGTTTTCATGGAGTTGAAACCTTTTCGCCTCGAACTCGGCATTTGGCCGTGTATTTTAGAGTTAGCTTGGCACATAATTGCCGCTTGTTTATGTGGAGTTGGGAGGCTTGTTGGCTATGCTTGTGATACTGCCGGCTACTTTTATGAATTAGCCGGCTGTTTTGCTAATCATGGTTGGTTTTTATTGCGGCTGTTATATTTCCTGCTAGCTTGAGGCTCGACATTGGGGTGCCGCATGTTCAAGCTTCTCTCTAATGTACTTGTCTCTTTAATTGTTGTAGTGGGTTGCCCCCTAATGAAAGCAGGCGTCAAATTGCAAATGCCACACTTCCTGACACACCTCTCTAATGTACAAATTTCTCAGCTTTAATTATTGTAGTGGATTGCCACCTAAGGCTCTTAAGTGGAGCTTTGCCATACATATTACCACAAGTTAAGTGGACCAGGCGCCAGATGTGGAACGAGGCGACTGTCAAGCTGACAGTTCTGAGAGAGGGACCAAGGTGTTCCCTTCTCATCTAACCGTGGACATGTCTAATTTACCTTCTGCTCCTTCTAAGGGAGAGGAGGCGGGCCCCTCTAGGAGAGGGGAGGCGTCGTCCTCTTCGGACTCGTCAGGGGACGAGTCCGATTCCAGCTCTTCTGACCATAGTTCTTCTGACCATAGTTCTTCTGACTCAGAAGAAAAACATAACCGCCTACAAGAGGCGAGAAGTTCCCATGCAGTGGAGAAGGGGGATAATTGGGCAGAGCCGTCCGCCTCTTACAGAGAGGAAAACACCCCCTACTACTGCAGGGTGCCCCGGGGCCGGATCGCAACCATGCGAGACAACGTGGCGAGCTTTATTGCTAACCACAAAATGGGCCCGGAGTATTTACTGTTTGTGCCGGATCCAGAAGATACTGTCGTCTGGCCGGCTGGTACCAGCTATGGTGACGGCTGTTTTGGCTGCTATGATAATAATAAATAGCTTACAAGCTTGACCGTCTGACTCTTTGCATTCGGCCGTATGACGCCTGCAGTAGTTGGCCGCCTGGTCGGATGCTCGGAGGTTGGTATATTGCCGGTTGTACCCAGTAGTTTCATGCGAGGCGCATGTAACTTCAACTGGGAGTGGTTTGATCTGGCCGACTGTTCCTTTGGTGGAGCGGTAGCCTTTTTATTGACAAGCTCTTGGATCTTTCCCTTGAAAGTACTCATGAGGGCCATGAGTTCATTCCTGGTTATAGGGGCAGATCCCTCGGCCGCCTGTTGATTTAGCCAGGCAGGCTCCCCGTTCCTTCCTTTCGGGTGCGTCGAGCTCTGAGGGACCCGTCAGGGGCCGTGTGAGTCTCAACTTCATATTCTTCGTCGGTATCATGGTCCGACTGATCTTGAGGGTCGTCTAGGGGACGCCTCTCTTCAAGAGTCGGTACAGACGTGGATGCCATCTCAGAAGTACTCTCCCCACAGACGGCGCCAAATGTTTCGGGGTTTTCTGATGTCCTGCGGGAGAGTTACAACACCAAGACTGGAACCGGCCGCCTGTACCTGCAAAATAACGGAGACTCCTGAGAGCTCCGCCTCCAACGGTCAAGTTAGTACTTGTTTGAGGAGTAATAAATGCGGAAATTAAAGGGGGGAGATCTGGTTCCTCTAGGGGAGGAGTGATCAATGTGTTTAGACTTCTCTAGGTGAGAGTCATTCTGTTGAATATGGAGGCTAATGATATGTTTATATAGCCTCGAAGTATGTGCCCAATACTAGGTTTTCTGGGAAAACCTAAGACTGATTGGGCTTGCCTCGGGAATTGGGCCTGCGATGGCCGTTTTCCAGGTTGGCGGATAATGGGCCAACATGATGTGACCTGATTAGTCCATGTTGGACCTATTAGGGTGACAAGTGGCGGACGCTGATTGGCCCACGTGGTGGACACGTGGCAGGTCCGGATTGGTCCATTTGTCATGGGTAATTTTACCCTAAACAGGTATCACTCAGGATTTGTAGATGTTGGAATTCTCTCAAATTTAAGATTAAGACCCTCTCTAATGGTGAGACTCAAGTGAGTATTTTTTGGAGGGAGAGTATTTTTTGCAATCTATACCAATAAGGTGGTATTTAAACTTAGCAACTCCAAAAGAAAGTTGCTAAGTTTAGATACTCAACTTTGAGTCTCATTTGACAAAAAGTGTGGACCCCTTACTAATATTCTAATATATTTTGTAATTTATTTAAGTTTTACATTTTTTTAATCTTACAATATTTGATAATTAAAAAGAAATGGATTTGGGAGCCATAAATTGAAAGTGACATTTGTATATTCTAGAGAGTCTCGCCATTGGGAAATTAGGCTTCACATGAGTTGCTAAATTGAGAAGTAAGTATGGTATCACCATTGGAAGTAAAAAATAACTCATTTTGTATTTCAATACTCAAATTTGAGTCTCACCATTGGAGATGGTCTAATATATCATATGGAACAACATTCTTAGTTTATGATTACTTAAGAGCCTCTCCGACTAGAGACTACTTAAGAGCCTCTCCAATGTAGCGGCAAAGGCTGCTGTTGCTTTGGATGGGGGCATAGAAGAAGTCATTCGAAGGAAAGTGTTTCAATTGAGGCAAAAATTAAGAAATTTGATGAGGAATTAATGGGAAAAGCTAAGAAAAAGCCCCCAAATTTGGCGTTAGAAAGAAGCTCCTCACTTCCAAAACCCTCGAACAATACTAATTCTCTCTCTTCCTCTCTATTTCTTTCTTTATATTATACTCTGCAGGATACTTTTTTCCTTCCATTTTCTGCATGATGTGGGCTTGCAAATCTGAATGTCGAATCAAAGAAGTTTAAGTTGTACTGATTTTGAGTTCTCTAGATTGGTGGAATCCTGATTGACTTTATCTTGTAAATAATGTGTTCTCTATTCAACTCCATTCAAATCAAAGCCTCCAAGGAAAGTATACACTCTTGTTTTCTTGCCTCTATTTCGCTCAAAAGTCCAAAACCTTCGTCTTCATCAGCTTTAAAGGCACTGCTGGTTGAGAAAAATGTGAAAATCTAGAAGGTATGCTTTCTTAGCTTGTTAAAAACTTTACACACCAAGACTTTTGTTGCTCAAACAGAACCATTTTAGCCTTTAGCATGCGTTCAGAATCTTGAAATAGATTAAATTTGTTCTTCTACTTATTAAGCAAAAGTTTGAAGCACAGATAAACTCATCTTGTCCCCATGGTGCCCACCCTTTAAAAATATAAGAGAGTGAGGGGAAATGAGATTGCTTTCTAATTATACTAACTGACTAAAGTCTTGTTATTATGTACGGTTGGAGAGGGAAATGGGAGAGATTAAGTGGCAAAGAGACCTTGCACAGTCTCAACTTGAACTAGAAAGAAGTGCACACAAGGAAAATAAGGTAAATTGTGAATATTGACCCTCCATTTCTAACACTTTCCAGTAAATTGTGTTACAATTGATAGTTGTTTGTAGAAGAATCATCTTGATTTACAACGATTTAGTTTTCAAGGGCTAATTGAAGATATATATGTTGTTATATAATAGAGCAAGCTATTTGGAATTGCCTTAGGTATATACCGCACAGGCAAGTATTACGCTTTGCTAAGAGTTGCGTTCTGTTTTAGGAAACCGTATTACAATTTTGATCCTTAAATAGTTATATTAGAGGCAAGGAATGTAATTACCAGGTTATGCGATTTGAGGCTTTGTTCTTTTCATTTGAATGATAATCAATTTAAACTTAATTTAGTTGTGAAATTGAACTTACTAGCCCTTTTCCAGACTTAGTGTTCATGTAAAAGTAAACAGAACAAAAAGACTAAGTCTAAAGCCAGCTGAAAATAGGATCTTGCTTTAGGTTGTCACCCTTGATTGGAACTGATATAACTGATTTCAGACTTGATTGAAGAGTTTGAAGACCATGCCTATTAGGTTCAGTAAGTTCTTGTGATGATGATATATCTGTTAAACATTGGCTGAGGAATTATTGATGTTTATGGTTTTCAGGTACAAGGCCATGGGCATTAGGAAGAACACTGCATATAAGCTATATTGCACAAAACAAAGTTCTGCTATACAATTCAATGCCAACCTTCCCCGATTTAGCAAGTCACAAAGGTTGGCATAGTCTTTCTTTTTTCTTATCAATCACAAAGGCAGGGCTGCGACTACTTAAGAGCCTCTCCGATCAGAATGTAGCGGAGGAGGCTTCTGTTGATTTGAATGGGGGGCATAGAAGAAGTCATTTCGAGGAAAATGTTTCAATTGATTAAGAAATGTGATGACTTATTAATGGGAAAAGCTAAAAAAAAGCCTCAAATTTGGCGTCTGGAAGAAGCTTTTCACTTCCAAAACTCTCAAACAGTACTAATTCTCTCTCTTCCTCTCTATTTCTTTTTAATTTAAATAAAGGCTCAATCATTTTTATAATTTTTGGTTCCTTTAATTTGGAAATTTGACCCTTGTTGATTTTGTGATTTATTTGGGACCTTTTTGCTTAATTTTATTGATGATATTTAATTTGGATTTCTTGGGTTTTGCATATTGCTTTTTATGAATTATTAGTGATTAGATTAATTTGTGAATTTTAGAGTAATGGGTTAGTTAAACTGTGGGATGTCAAAGAGCTGATTTGTTTGATTTGCCCTTGACATTGGTCGGGGAATGCAATTTCATCATTCTCAGGAAATACTTTGATGTGATTTGAAATCAGAAATCTTCTTCTCGGAAATTACATGTGTAAAAGTAGACGTCCTAGATGATTTTGGTATCTCTTGCTTAAAGACTAAAATAGGCAGTGCAATATGATTCACTTGGTACCTATTGCTAGATGTCTCGGGAGATGATAGCAAATAAGCACCATACAAAGAAAGCTGATGTTATTGTTTTGGCATCGTCTTGTGGGAGATCTTGACCGTATTGATGCCCTGCGTTGTATTTAAGATTGATGAGAAGAAGAAAGAGCTTGTAGATGAGAAGATTGGCAATTCAGCCGAAAGCTATGATGATTTTTGGCTGCCTTACTGGAAAGTGACTGTGGATATGCATCTCTGTCTATGATTTTGACATCTGGATGAGAAGATTGGCAATTCAGCCGAAAGCTATGATGATTTTTGGCTGCCTTACTGGAAAGTGACTGTGGATATGCATCTCTGTCTATGATTTTGACATCTGGTAATTGCCAAACTAGCAAGATTTACTTTGCACAGTTAGCTCTTTGTCTAATTTCTTTTTTCCATTCGCTCATTCCCTCCAATTATTCAATTACTGAATCTGCATCTTTGAATCAATTTTACGAAATGTATATCAACTTTTGATTAGTCCAATTATGGTGATACTAAGATCATTTCCCTGGTCATGGTGATTCTGTTTTATACTTTGGATGTCAAGTATATATGTTGCATTGTTTCTGCTATTATATGTTTACACAATTACACATGAACTCTGGATCTGGATTGATTTATGAATATCTGGTTTATTTGTGCTAGCAATTTCTTGGTGTGTAGTGTTAGACTGTTAAACTAGAAAATTGAGTCGATGGTTGGATCCCGTGGCTTCCATAAGTTCGCAACTTAGGCCATCTTGGGTCAAAGGTTGTTATTTACACCTGGGTGGATATAACAATTCAGTCCAAGGTTCAACGCTCGTTTCCCTCATCTAAACAATTTTTCTCGGTAGGCACCTTCCACAGACCACCTTGAGGTAGGGCTTTACCAAGGGGGTAATTGTGCACCTGTCCTGGCAAAATCGTGTTAAGCTATCACTCTATTAGACACTGCATAATTTGTTTAAGTGTACTGATTTTCCTACGTATTATTGATTTGGCTAGCAAAAACTTTGTTAGTACCCACTCTACCCAGCAGCTTTATCAGAATCATGAAAACTATTCTTCTAATTTTGAATTTTTATGCTCAAGCTTTGCTATTACATATATTGCCATTTCTTCTAGAAATTATCTATTTGCCAAACCAGTTTGGTAAGTTTACTGACAAACTTTTTTCCCCAGAATACTTTGAAACAGGAAAAGCAACGGCCAAAGGGGATGTTTATAGCTTCGACGTCGTGATGTTGGTGCTTTTGACTGGAAAAAAAGCCCTTGAGGAGGGAACAAGGCTGGTCACCTGGGTAATTCTTCAATTCTATTTTTGCTTTGGTCTAATTCACTCCAAAATTAAGTAAGCTAAGTAACTAACCAGAAGCTCCCTTTAGGTGCCCTTTTGCGTAGGCTTCACCGAATTGGTACTATCCTGACCTTATTCAATACATTAGTGTCAGGTTCTATATTATTTGTCCCTGCACAAAGAGCTTCTACCTGCATTACTTCGGCCAGGTTTGCTTTTGAACTTCTTAGCCTATTTAGAATGTGTTTCTTTAGCCCTTCTATAGCACATGCACAAGTTTACTATAATTATTTTAAACTCTTGCATAATGTCTACGGGTTAATTAATTATTTGACGATGGAAATGTTATGATTTAAACTCAGTTTTTTGAGAATGGGTACCGTAAAGCATCAGCAGATGGATATTTTTTTTATACTGATCTTTTTCATTTCAATAAAGCAGATTGCTTTTAACTTTGTTTTTCCTCTTAATTGATTTGAATAATTTGAAACTCGGATGGTTGGACAGCTGGAGAGGACCTTTAATTTTGATGGGAGAAGAGGTGATTTTAAATAAGCAACTTGCTCCTTGTATATTATGGTGTTTTAATCTTATACTAACAACTTGCTCCTTGTGTATTATGGTGTTTATTCTATACTAAACAACTTGCTCCTTTCAAAGTTACCTCTCAGACATATTTCTGTGTATGATTCAAAAAAGCCTGTGTTGAGCAGAGTGTTGAGCAAGTTTTATAAATTCTATGTATGCCACATAATCCGAGCAGAGTGTTGAGCAAGTTTTACAATATACTTCTATGTATGCCACATAATCCGAGCAGAGTGTTGAGCAAGTTTTATAAATTCGCAGAAGAATTTATATGAAAGCTTCATTAGCTATCATTGAGTTGTAATATTCATGTAGATTGTGGTTTCTGCTTTATTGCATTGATCTTGAACATACATTATTTTTCTTGTTCACTAGGCCTTGTAGATTTCTGATTTTTGTGGCTTGTTTTCGTTGTAAATTTACAATGCTTTATTTATTATTATAACTGTCTTGATAGATAATGTCCAGCTTGCTTTGGGTAAGTTGATGCAATAAACTATTAAATTTTGTCTTCAAATATGTTATTCGAGTAGCATTCATACTGTGATTTTACTTATTACTCTTGAACTTGCAGGTCCTAGGAGACATCACAATTCTTGAGATTACCAGGTAGATATAGCTAACCTTCATTAGAAATATGATGTTTAAGCGACTACATATTTTGACCCCACAGTTTGCATATATATTAAACTGTCAGTATCCTGCAACTTCAAGTTTAAGGTTGATGCATGATATCAAGCTAATTAATGCTCTGTGATTAATTTATGATTGGAAAAGTAAATAGTCAGATGTCAACACATCACACTTGATTAGTGTCAAGCTCCTCACTAAATAGGAAGTATTTAATAGTAGTCATACATAATTCTGGTCCCTTGTCCCTCACGAGTCATTCTACTTTGAGATGTTGGCAGAGTTACTTATTGAGCTCCAAGCTATATGTCTGCATCTATTTGGTATTCCCCTTTGAATTGATGAAGTTTGTGAACATTTTCATTTGACTATTATTGCTCTATGCAGGCTCTTTGTCTAGACCATAATAATCCAAACAACATGACTTGTGAAATTTGGCATCTATCCTCCCCTTCTCCTTTTATAGAATCTTTGTACAATTCATGCATATTTTGGCTGTTGTGATATCTAGAGTAGACAACCGTAGAACGGTTCCTTTCCCTTATCTAGATGACCACTATAACTATACACGAACAATTACACTCGGTACTTTGTCATGAAACATGAAATTGTTTTAAGCTTGTGTCAGTTAATATTTAAGCCCTATTAGGTGGATGACTTCAAATTTTCCCTAGGCTACGGGATTTGAATGAGTAAAATAAATATTTAGATTTCATAAAATTGCAGGTAAATCGCCTTGTGGAGATTCCATGCCTTTTATTGAAGTGGGGTTTATAGAGTGTAAAAAGCTTATAGTTTGCTGCTTCTGCAGGCTTGCCTTAGCCTATACCGAGAGGATATACGAGTGTAAACTTGGTGTTATCATATGACTGTTGTACTCTCGAACTGCATTTTAGGTGATAGTAATTAATAAGCTGGTCATTGGTTAAAGTAATGCTCGATAATCCTGATTAATTTGATGCTTTTTTTTTAATAATTATGAGGTTCAGTATAAAGAATTTTATCTGAGGTAGTTATTATCAAAATAACTCCATGACTTTGTAACATTTTGCACCATTGTATTGATTTCTCTCTCAGCACTAAAATTAAATTGAGGAATATAGCGGTTTAATACTGCATGCTTTACGAATTGATTTTATTAATCTCTTATCAGAAACTTCATATGCCCATATCACTTCTCTTCGGATGGATAATTTTTGCTACTATAGAATGACAATTGAAAGTCAGTGCATATGTTTAATATTACCTCTAGATGGTAATGGTGTCCTTCCCAATTTCCTTTTATATCAAAATTTGATGATGTTTTCACTCTCCTTTTGCTTATGCAGGAATTACGTGGGTGAGGTATTTGGAATGCATAGTCGTGGTCTTCCTAAGCGCTAATTTCCCTGCTTCCAATCTCGAAGTTTAAATGCCGTTTCTTAAGAAGAAGGTGCCGAACTAAATGGTAATAATGCAGTATCTTGTATACTCAAGTTTCATTTTTGTTTTTTTTAGTTATTAATTTGCTGTAATTGTTCTCTGGGGCGCAATATGCTGTCAAGTTATTTTGATGAACTGTAATGCCATCTTCCACTGCTAATCTACTTTGTCTGAAAATTATTCAGCATTATCTGAAAATTTATCTAAATAATATGCAATTCCTCCATCTGCAAGATGGACATTGTACCGGAAATGTAGAAACTCACTTGCAACAACTAAAAATGATGAAAAAATGAACAGACAAAGTGAGAGTGCTTTCAGCAGTAAGATGGAACCCTAAGCATGTGATTGGTGGCAGAATAATTTACAATTGGTCTAGATGGTAAATTTGTACTCTATTCATTTACTGGATTGATCAACTGGTCTTCTTATTGCTTTTAATAATTGATGAAGTTTGATACTTATGTTATTATATTGTCATTATAACAATAAGGGGCATCTAAGTTGTTGATTATTATTTAAGTGGAGGTAGAGGACTAGAGGCTTAGGTTTGTTTTTTTTTTTTTTCCTTCCTTGGGTAACGTACAATGATTATATTGGCTTAAACATGAGTCGTTTTGGGTTGTTAGCATATGTTTGCCAATGTGACTAAAATAGATTACAACCTGCTCAAAATTGAGTGAAGCAATTCCTCTTAATTTGCTGATTCCTTAAATCAATTGCGAATAGCATGTAAATTATTCATGAAAGTTATTTGGTTGATTTGATGAGGATTTACATTAAAAAAAATAAGGTGTTGCGTTAGAATTTAAGGAGGATCTCTCTACATATACATATGAAATGACAAATATCTTGAGGGAAGGGGTGGTTCATGGGTCAACTGGGGAAAGGGTTTCTGACCTTTTCACTAGCCTCGTTTTGCTTTCTAGGAAAATAGAAAATTACCTTTGCAGATTTTTATGTTTATTTTTTGTTTCAAGAAATATAACTTTCTGTCTAAATTAGTTTAACTTCAATGGTTTAATATTAATATGACATGAGCATGTGTATTATAAATTATTTTCATGAAATTACTAGATTCTTTATGAGGACGAGTTTTTTCTTGTGATGCACTATGTTGGTATTTGTGTTTTTTTTTTTTTTTTGTTGTGATTATGATTTAATTGATATGACTTGAGATAGGATGATTGCACATAAATATTGCATACATTTTCTTTGTTACTGTTTTCTTTATTACTATGGAATGTTATGAAAATTGATTGTTTTGGGATAGTTGGATATCAAAAATTACATTATACTGATTCGTGTGAATTGGAAGGCTATTAGCTTAGTTGGTAGAGCAATGTGCTACCCACATAGCCTGATATATTTATGTTGATTGATGAATTTTGGTCATGGCTAATATTTCTTTTTTTCAAAAAAAAAGTGCTACATTTTGACTAGCACGTTTGTAGATACACTACTTTGATTGTAATTTTTATAAATATATATTAGTAAAAAATTTAAAATGTTTTTTTATTTTTTATATTTTTTTTGACAAAGAGAACACAGAAAAAAGACTAAAATTAAAAAGAAAAAAGAAGATCTCTGCGACGAGCCGCTCCAGCCAAGTAATGAGCTTCCGAAATAGCCAACCTAGGTACCTTCCTAATGAGACAAGTAGTAAAACCCGACAAGATGTTACGGATGTCCTGAATAGACCAGCACACACTGACACATCCGCCAAATCTTTGCACAACAGCAAAGTAGCAATAATAGAACAGTCAGTAAGGAGAAGAAGCTTAGAAATACCCCATGAACGAGCTTGTTGAAGACCATACAAACAGGCTAGGAGTTCAGAATGGAGAGTCGAACCAGCCACACAAGCTTTAGCCCCGCCTCCCAATGGATGCTGCGACGCAGCGTTACAAAACAACCAACCAGTACCCGCCTCATGAGATTCCCTGTCCCAAGCTCCATCAAAGAGCATAAGAATATCACAGATATCATCCAACTTGCCACAAAGAGCAAAAGAAGTAGGCTGAAAAGGAAACCCCGGAGGCTTGTCTATTTGTGAAAAGGTAAGAATACGAGCATTCTGACTCCTGAAACACCAATCTGACGCCAATTCTAAAATGGAATTGGGAGAATAAACTGCCGAACGAAATCTAACATTATTTCTGGTTAACCAAATAGCCCAGCACACCCCAAAGAAATAATCCAAGATGGACCAGAATTTCCCTGAACTAAGACCAGAAATAATACCTGTAAACCAGTCTAGAAAAGGCAACTAATGATCAGGTGTAGGAAAAGGTCCCCAGTCAATAGAGGACCATAAACAACCAATAAACGTGCAGTCACGAAACAAATGATTCCTGTCTTCCACTTGACTATGGCTGAAAATACAAATCAGATTCACATGAATACCTTTACGAGAGAGAACTGCCATAGACGGGAGAGCATCAAGAACAATCTTCCAAGCTAACATCTTCCATTTTGGAAGAATAGGTAACCCCCAAAGACGTTTCCACCAGGAAGGAGGAATAAAAGAGACCGGAGGGTTAACATGTTGAGATAAAATATGTAAATAAGTAGACTTTGTAGAGAACTTGTCATCCTGTGTATATTTCCAATATACAAAATCATCAACTGCCTTTAAAGGACGCTCCAGACTCAGAATGGACATGGCCACCAACTGAGGAAAAAGAGATCTAACCTTTGATGGATCCCAAGAAGTTGAGTTGGCAGAGAAAAGCCCCGAAACAAACATCGGTCTCGCCTGAGAAGGAATCGGATCCTTAAAACTCACCTTAACATTGGGCAACCAATTATCATCTAATATGCTGATATTCTTTCCAGACCCAATCTTCCAGGAAAGAGCCTCTGAAAGAGAAAAGTTCCCCTGAAGAAGACCATGGCTTCCCCACGAAGAACGGGAACCAGAAAAATGCGACCTATGTTGAAGAAGCGCAGAGTATTTAGCTGTAAGAACACGAGAAGCTAAGAGTTGAGGATTATGTCTCAATCTCCAAGCTTGCTGAGCCAGCAGAGCAACATTAAAGGACTGGATGTGGCGGATTCCAAGACCCCCCAAACCCATTGGGAGATAAACAGCAGCAGCAGGAGCCAAGGCTAGCCCCTTAGACGTTTCCCCAGACTTCCACCAAAACCGTAATAAAAGAGAGTTGATTTTATCACAAATCGTAGAAGGAAGCTTAAAAACCGAGAGAACATGGTTAAAAGAAGCAATAAAGACAGAGTTGATAACAACCAATTTAGCTGCAGCCGAAAGCCTGAGAGAAGAAAACACGGAAAGTCGCTGAACCAGCCTATCAATCACGAACTGAAACTTTTTGCATTTACTCCGACCCATATCCACAGGGAGCCCTAAATAATTTCCAATGGAAGGACGAGCCTGCATTTTAAGGCTGTGCGAAAGGTACTCTCGATAATCAACCGGAGTGTTAGAACTAAATCTAACAAAAGATTTCTGAATATTAATCATTTGACCGGATATCGAACAAAACTCATTAACCACCGAAAGCACATTATCACAGGCCTCAGGAGAAACATGAAAGAAAATCAGCTCATTATCAGCAAAGAAGAGATGCGAAATAGAAGGAGCCCGACTAGCAATACGAATACCCCTGAGTTCAGCACGGCGTAACATCAAAGACAGAATTTCCATACATAACACAAAAAGGTAAGGAGATAGAGGATCCCCTTGCCTCAGCCCGCATTTAGGAATAAAAGGTGTTGAGGGAGAACCATTGACCAAGAGCTGATAGGACACCGTTGTAACACATTGTTGCAAGATATGAACCCAGTAAGGAGGAAAACCAAATCTTCGAAGAACATCCCAGAGAAAATCCCAATTAACCTTGTCATAAGCCTTATTCATATCTAACTTTAAAGCAGCAGAAATATTTTTAGAACACGAATTAGACATGTAAGAAAGTAATTCATGGGCCAGCAAGCCATTATCTGCCATTAATCGACCGGAACAAAAGCATTCTGAGTATCAGATATGAGAGAGGGTAAAACCTTTCGAAGCCGATGAGTAAGGCATTTGGCAATGCATTTATATATGACATTACATAAGCCTATCGGGCGAAATTGGGAGGCTAACTCAGGATGGTCCACCTTCGGGAGAAGCACCAGGAAGGTACGATTCCACTCTCCCAGAAGGTAACCATGAACAAAGAAGAATTGAACTGCTTGGACCAACAATTGCCCAGTGCTGCTTGAAGAAAGCCGAAGTAAAACCATCTGGACCCGGGGATTTATCATTCCCAATATGAAACATGGCCTCTTTAATTTCATTGGTAGAAAACTCCGTCATGAGAAATTGGAAATCAAGCTCTGAAAGAGTGGGAAGCTCCAAATCATACCAGTTACAGGAAGGAACAGGAGAATTAAGCCCCCGGCAATTATACAGTTCAGTAAAATGGTTTTCCAAGATAGAAGAAATCCCAACCTAATCAGAAATCCATTCATCATGCTCATTTTTCAAACACAAAATTTTGTTCCGTCGATGGCGAGCATGGACTGAACGAAATAAAAAACTAGAATGAGACTCACCAAAATCATCCCAGCGAACTTTGCACCATTGCTTCCAAAAAAGAAAAGCTGGGGCCCTGGAAATTTTCTCTTCCCACAAAGTAAGAAGGTAAGATCTTTCCTTAGTATCCCGAAGACGAAAAGAACCCAAAGCTACAGATTTCTCCAAATCTTGCCAGTCTATACCTCATTTACGCTTATTTGTAGCACACCAGCGAAACATATGACCTTTCACCTCTTCTAACTTTCTGGAAATCGAAAACATGAAAGAACCAGAATGACTCTTAAGCCAGTCAGAACCTATAATATCCGTAATTTCCTTTATACCCAGACACCAGTTTTCAATTTTATAAGGCCGTCGACGAGTACAAGTAAGCCCTGATTCTTTCAAAATAATAGCAGCATGATCAGGGAATGGTGAAGAAGAGATGCATCGGAGTATGAATCTAACCATGACCCAGTAGCATAAGCTTTGTCTAGCCTTTCATAAGTGGGATTCTGGAGTTGTCCATTGGTCCAAGTAAATTGGGGTCCCGAGAATGGAATATCAATAAGTGCATTTTGCAATTTCCATTCTATAAACTGGTGACGGCCAGGAATTTCTAAAGAACCCCCAATTTTGTCATCCATTTATTCAACCTGATTAAAATCACCTACAAGAACTACATTCGAAACTGAATTTAAAATATTGGTGATTTTTTCCCAAACCAAGGATCTAACAGAAGTATGAGGCGAACCGTACACAAACAGAATGTATTTTATTGCTTGTCCATGACCTTCAACTTTACAAAATATAACATTAGGAGATATAGATACCGGAGTAACTACTAGTGGAGCAAACCAAAAAACCACTAACCCTCCACTAAGGCCTACCGCATCACAACCACAAAAACCATCAAAACTAACCGAAGCTAATTTTTTTACAGCTACATCAACTGAAACTAAATTTTCCATAAGAAACATCATATCTACACCGAAAGAGCGGACTAGAGAAACCACATACGGAACCTTCGGGGAGTCCGCCATACCAAGACCCCTACAGTTCCAAGCGCTAACATTCATGGCCCTGGAGGTGGCCCTCGAAGGTGAGCCACCGAACCCTGACCAGAAGAAGACGATGCTGTGTCAGAAACCGATTCGCCTCTAGAACCCTTTCGACGCTTAAATTGTCTGAGACATGAGAAGCAACCCGGAGAAGTAATTGTTGGTGGAATATCGGAAGGGGAAGCTGAACATTTGGATGGGCATGAGCTTTTAACCCACTTCCAAATTTTCTCCTTTCCTCTTGACAGCCTAAGTCGAAGAGGACTTTCCATTTTATCTACTGCAATGGCGGAGTGGGGTGGAGATTCCACCCCACTCAGCCATATTATGAGAATATACAATATAATTTCAACAATATTTTACTTGATAGCATAAGCTTTCAAGTTTCAAAAAATTAGTAAAAATATGTAGTCAAATAAGGTTTATTAATAGTGCAAAACTGGAAGTGTTGCAATTATTTTGAAACAAGGTAATATAATCATGATTTTACACTAAGAACTTGTGATGCTATTGAAGATATTTACTTCACTTTGCTATTATCAAGCAAAATGAAGTTAAGAGTTCCATCAATGATCATGAACATAATCCTATTAAAAGTTACTTTATAATCATGAAAAAGGAAAGACCTATAGGTAGGAGGGAGAGTACGTGTGTGTAATTAAAGGAGAGGGGATCCAATAATTGCTTAACGAATACAACAATCTGTTCATTAAATCAGAATTATCATGTATTAAATTATCTTTTTTTTTTCCTGTAGCTAGAAAGAGAGAGATAGAGACAGGGAGTTATGGAGCAAGGAGAAGGAAATTGAGTCCGAGAAAAAGGAGAGTTTGGGAAATAAATGGAGGGGGATACTTTTCAGACTGTAATAAAAAATACTTTAAGAGTGTGGGGAATATGAATGTATATCAATTAAACAAAATCTTAAGAAGGAGAGATGAGATGAGGGAGTAGAAGGAAGGAAAAAGGAACAAGAAATGAGAATAAGGAGAGGATTAGAGGAGTAAGGAGAAATGAAATAAGTAAAAGGAATGAATATGAAAGAGAGGATACACGACAATTTTTAATCATTCTTCCTTTAACCATGTTTGTCCCTAAAGCCGAGCTACCTATATGAGTTACAGTATATATTACTAACCTGTTTTCACGTCCTTACTTAACATACTTTCTACACCGGACTATATTATGGTTGATTCATCTTTTGGAATAAATGTGTTGTGTATACATAAATAATAACTATGCTAGAGAAGATCATGTCATCGCCAAAGTTGCTTATGAGTATAATAGTCTTTTTCATGTTTTTTTTTTCTCATAATTTCATCATTTAATCTGTTTAATTCAATTCATTCATTCGTTCATTTAATATGTTTATACCGTCTTCTATTTTAAGCAATTTGTTATTGAAACTGAACCTTTTTGTTATAAAACCGAAAACAATTTAAAGTTGTGTTTTTCGCCTTTTGTTGGACTGAGAAAGATTGATGGAAAGAGTACATCATATCATGAGATTGAGATAGATATGTTTTCTCATACTTGTGAAACTATATGGAAGTAGAAATCTGCAAACCACGTGTGAGTATTTTATTTATTTATTTATTTATTTATTTTTTTTTAAAAAAAGAACATTGTCTTGCATTCCATGTACTTTTAGAATAGCATATTTAACTAACTAGCTAGGTCAAATTTCAGTTTAGTCTATTTGTAAGTCCCTTAAGGCTTTGTTTGGTTCAATATTAGTAAAGGAAATATAGGGAAAGAAAGGGAATGGAAAATTAAGAAAGAGAAGGGAAAGGAAATGAATGAAAGAAACTATATCATCCAATGTTTAGTTTGATATTAGTAGAATAAGGAAATTAAGAGGAATCTATTGTTGGGTATGACATTAATAAAGGGAGGAAAGGGAAGGAAAAACTAATTTTAAGTTTAATGGATTTAATTCTTTCTTTCCTCCCAAATTCCTTTAATTTTGGGAAGAAATGAAAGGGAAGATTATAAATAGAGTTTTCCTTTATTTTCCCTCATTTCCTGTCAAATCCAATTTGATTATTAAAACCAAACATCAGAATCTATATTTTTCCTTTCTTTACTTTTCCTCCCAATACCTCCCAACCAAAAAGTGCCTAAAGTTCTTTCGTAAAATAATCCAAGAACAACCTATTTATGATTTTATGTTAGTTAAAAATTAATCTTGAAGTCTAATAACAAAACCTCTATCATAATCCCCTTGTATAACAAATCATACAATGTATCAAATTAAGGAATAAAAATACACGTGCTCTTGAATTACCCAAAGAAATAAAGGCCCATGAAAAGAAATCCCAACAACAATCTATCACATAGAATTAGTGAGTATCGGAGGAGTATGTAAAAAAAAAAAAACTAAACCTAACTTTCCAAAACTCATTACGGCTACGTGACAACCACAATAAATTACATCACCAATTTTAACAACATGGATCATATAATTAACATAATTTTGCTCCAAATAAAAAAAAAAACAACATATCAAGAATCAAATATTTGAAATCAATAAACCGTCTCAAATTGTTATCGAATAAGCAAATAAACGATAAGTACTTATCTCAATGTTGTGTAGACCTTGCCGCGTCATGGGGAATCACTTACCTAAAAGACGATTCCTAGCCAGAGGTAGAGTTTGGTGCTGATAACGTGTTATGAAATAAAGGGAATATGAGAGGAATTGAGGAGAGAATAGATCAATCTATCATTCCATTGAGTAAGGGATGTATATATATATATATATATATATATATATATATATATATATATAATATATATATATATATATATATATATATATATATATATATTATATATATATATATATACGGGGAGGTTCCGCTAAAAACAGAGCTTATGGTGAAAACTAAAAACAAGCAATCTTAGCCATTCATTACTAGAACAAAAGATCAGACGGTTCTATAGCCCTAAGATCATTCCAACCTTACATATAATCAATTCAACCGTTTTAAAGGTTTTTTTTTTTTTTTTTTTTTTTTTTTTTTGGACAAACGCAACGTTTTAAAGGTCACTACATGCTAAAATAAAGTAACTTTATCTAAATTGACGATATTTACATAGAGTCACTATATATAAAAATAACGTAACTATATACAAAAATAGGGTAGCTATTTCAATTTTTACAATATTTACATTAAGGTCACTATATACAAAAATAGGGTAACTATTTCAATTTTGACCATATTTACATAGAGGTCACTATATACAAAAATAGGGTAACTATAACAATTTTTACAACATTTACATTAAGGTCACTATATACAAAAATAAAGTAACTATATCGTCTGAGTTTTTGACACCATTTACATAAAGGTCACTATATACAAAAATAAAGGTCACTATATATAAAATAAGGTGACTGAAACAAAATTTAACATTTCCATAATTCTAAGGTCATTATATCGAAAATAAGGTAACTATATATTAACTTCGGGTAATTATATCAATTTGACACCATTTACCTAGAGGTCGATAAATATAAAAATAAGTATTAAAAAAGTCTATGTAGGATTCGAACCTACATCCCGTGATTACACGGTGCTCGACCAATTGAGCTAATAGGCTTTCAACATGCCAAAACAGCCAATAAAAGCATACCAACATCACAGACCAACATCATACAGACCAACATCATACAGACTGAAGCAAAACAAGCTTGACAAGATCAACGTTTCAAGAACAGAAGCAGAGGCAAATAAAAGCATACCAGGATATCATGATACGAGCAAGCCACCTGTATATGAGGAATCCCAACTAAATGTAGATATTGAACAGGCAGGCACCAAAAATCATACAATCAGAGATAAATCTTCACAAAGGCTGAAGAAGGTTACTATACTAACTCCAGCTGACAAGGTAAGATTAGGCATGATAGAGCTTGCAATAACGCAAACTAGCATACTCGAATTTTAGAAATAAATTTCTAAGGACACACTTCTACCATTTAACAGATATAAGCCTATGAGGCTATGATTCACAAAACAATACATATCTAGCTCCGTATCAGAGTGCACTTAGATTCTGGTACCATTACTTCAAAAGAAAGTCTATAGTAGGATAACAATACAATTGATCACTTGGTATTAACATTCAACTCTCTTACTCTTTGAGTGGAATAATAACAATAACTCAAATGTCTAGACTGTCATGGATGATCTGCACTACTGTTCGAATAAAATCTTAAATGAAAATGTACAAATCTACTGCAGAATTAAACAAAATATCGTTCACAATCACAATCACAAGCAGAACTTATTTAATCACATTCTTTCTTATACACAACATATAACAACCCATTAATAGGCAAAATCACATATCTACACATCACACCACACAGGAGTGAAATCAACACGCTCACAATCACAAGCAGAACTTTCACCCAATCACACACCTATACACAAACGAGCAGCTTACAGTCCATTCACAAACGAGCAGCTTACTGTCCAATTATAGGTTGTATATATAAACAATTTCTACGGCAACACAAAAGCAAGGAAATCACATTTCTGACAATCAGACTAAATACATCAATAAAATGCAGCAACATTAGAAAAATATCATCAAAATAATCAAATAAAACACAAAGTTCAGAAAATTTGATGATGAAATTGAAAATCGAACACAAAGTGATAAACTAAGCCGAAAAAATCGAGCACAAACTGATAAACTTAAAATGAAAAAATCGAACACAATTGAGAAAAAATAAAACCGAAAAAATCGAAATCAAATTCAAAAAATTAAGCCGAAAAATCAAACACAAATTGAAAATAGAGAAATTGATCAATATACAATGAAATGATCGATTAACGTAGGAAAATTTGATGACGAAATTGATGTGCTCAGAATGCCAAACGAAGAAATTAAGCTGAATTATAACATAATTAAACTTATATGAAACTCGATTAAGAATGAACTACCTCAAATAAAGTTAAATTACTCCTACGAAACTTACAAAATTTGCCAAAAATTACAAAATTAATAAAAAACAGAAGCAAAGTACTCAAAAAAATTACACAAATCGAAAACGAAAAACTCAAGAAATTACTCAAAAAACAACGATATGAAGAAATTATGAAAAACGCAAAATAATAACTCAAAAAACAATTTAAAAATCAGAAAATAACAAAAAACAGAAACGAAAAACTCAAAAATTACACAAATAAGAAACGAAAAACTCAAAAAAAAAAAAAAAAACTCAAAAAACATTGATTAAAAAAGCTAAAATAAAGCAAAATTATAAACGATTTCCTTACTTGATAGATCGTAGACAATAATAGGAATCAATTTGATGAAGAATCGAATCAATCACAACTATGCTTTGGAGAAGTAGTATGAAGTTTGAGGAAGAATGTAGAAATCAGGAAAGAGAAAAGAGAGGAGAAAGAATGTTATGCATGAAAATGCAGGAGAGAGAAACCAAAAGGCTGGAAAAAACCCCTACCGTAGGATAAGATGAGTTTGAATCTACGGTCAAGATTTTGTGTTTTCAGTTTTTAACTTAAGGTTGGTTTTCACATGATCCAACTCCTATATATATATATATATATATACACACACACACACAATAGCTATGGTTTTCTTAGGGAACATTAAACCCTAAACCTAGAATATTCTATATGGTACATGAATATAATGGGGATCCACATAATATTTCATAACATATTTTATTTTTTATTTTTATTTATTTTCATAAAAAATAATTTTATAAAAAAAATTAAAAAAAAAACCAAGATTATCTCTGACATATCTATATCTTAATCTATAACCCTTATAAAAATACAGAACGAAATACTTCTTGAGAATAGTTCTTTTTGGTACTATTACAGCCTTACCCCCAACATTAATGAATTGTCAATTCTGCCCCTTATTCCTATTTGTTGATGCCTGCTGCTCTCCCACCGACTTACTTAGCCTTTGCTCTCTCACCGACTTCCTCACCTTCTTCCCCTTTGTCTTTTCATCTCATAAGTCATAAGGAAAAAGGGTTAGAGTATTCAGGGGAAACGAGGAGAGAGAACCTAGAGAGAGAAACTTCAGCAACTCAACACCAACGACATCCCTTTCGACGATGGTGCTTCGATTCTTGTGGAAGATGATTTTCCGATCGTCACATTTGTCAGGTTCGATCTCGTTTCTCTTTCTCGATTTAATTTCAAATATTTGGGCTTTACTTGTTCAATTGTCATGGATTTTTTGCATATATGTTCATGTTGTTTTTGATATGTTTTCGAATTTTTTGGGTTGAATCTTTATGGGTGTATTTGTGCGAAATCGCTTCGTTTAAATGGGGTTTATTTGATCGATTTGTTTTCAATTTTTTGGGTTTATTTGTTCGATTTTTTTTTGATTTTTTAAGGGTTTATTTGTTCTATTTATTTTTCGTTTTTTGGTTGAATTTTAATGTTTTCTTTGACTGTGTGGTGGTATTATTTGGGTTAAATTTGAGTGATTTATCTTTTTTTGGGTTGATTTTTTATATTGTCAATAGCATTATTGTCTGATTTGTAAAAGAATTGTTGATCTTCAGGTACAATTCTATCTCCCTTTTCTCTTTCTTGTTCTAATTAGTTCAATGTTCATCTATGCTTTTTAATTTTTTTTTTTTCTCATCCTCCAGTTTCTCTGTTTTCTTTCTAAAATAGGCGGAAGGAGTAAGACGGAGCAAGGTTTGGTGGATTCTAGTTTGAGGTGAAGAAACTCAGATATTATTGCATGGTCGATATGTCATTCATTTGTTTATTTAATTTCTAGAATGTAATGATTTATATATGATCTATGCTGTGATTTGTATGTTGTTGTTGATGTTTGTTTGTGTTTTGTGGAATTGATGGAATTTTAATTTGATTGATTGAGAAACAAGCTTAGTTGATGTTAGGATATTTTTTTGTCAAATATGAGGTGTTTTAGTAAATTGGTAAATAAATTGGTGAGAGTTTTGAGTGGTAATTTTACACATTTATGAAGTGTATTGTTGTTCAAGAATCAATAATAATCAATTTGTGGAATTTTTTTTGTATTGTTCAATTTCAGATTTCTATTATTTGGTTGCTCTTGTAGGTTTTGTCTTGGTTCATCCTTTGTGATGGGAAGCTATTTGTTTAAATCAATTGCCGAAGAATAACATGGGCTTATTCGACTGATTTTTTCTGCTTGATTTCCTGAATAATCTTGCCTGGTTTGTTGTTTCAGGGCTGTTGTAGTAAATACAGAGGTTTGTTTATGTGGATTATACATAACAAAAAATATTTTTAAGAGAATTCTTAATGGTTAAGGCCTTAGCAACCAGTAATAGTTAAGAATTGGGTGGTAAGTGATCCCATCCATCTCTAATTTTTGTTCTAATATTCAACTGCTTGATGAGCTGCCGCGAAAAATGTCGCGCGCATCTCACAAAGTGGCGCTCAACTTTTGCGCGCAACTTATTCAGTTGTGCGTAGCACTCCGCGCAACTTCTGGAGATGCGCTCGCGAAAGATTTAGAATATCAAAATATTGGAAAATCGAATTTTACCATAGAGCTGCGCGCAAGACAAATAACTGCGCGCGACTTATTCACTTGCGCGTGACAGCCGTGTGCTACTCATCCAGTTGCGCGCGACACCTGCTGCGGCAGAATGCTCTTAACCCTAAACCTAATCATTCCCTATAAATAAGACCCTAATCCGAGGCTTAAAGACAGAGAAAATAACCTAAAACGCTGGCAGAATACTTGTGAACTTATGCTTCCTAACCCTCTTGTCCTAAACACTCACCCCTTTGATACTTTGTTACTACGGTGGAGGTTCCCCAACAAGAAGGAACCCATAAGTGTTCTAAACGAAGATCTAGCAAAGAGAAGTGGTAAATTCCCGAGCACTTAGTTAAATCACGTTTATTTTCTTGTTTAAAAGAACCTTAATTAATTAATTAATTAGTGTTGTTTGATCACCTTTAAAATAATTAATTAATCAATTCCATATAACATCTTTCGTTATAAAGATTAGAATTGAATAAAACAATTGTTGGTTGATCACTTAAGCCAAGGCGAATATTGTTTATTTTCTTGTTCTTTTCACGAATTTAATTAAATAAGAATAACGGCCTTACGATGTAATTCCTACGTGAATTGATGTGTGTAAATAAAATCAATTAACATAGTTTTAGGTATCACGTTGCATATATTGTTTGGTGATGAAATTGTGCAAAAGGAAGAGCTAGTAGAGGCCGCACTAGGGCTAGGATCGCGATTCCCCTCTAAAGGGAACGTTATCTTAGTACCCTTGCTCCCGAACTCATTTCTGGTTTATGTAGACCAATTTGGGCATGGGTAAACTTATGATTCATGCTAAATATCCTTTGAACTCTACTTAGGAGAAAGGCATGAACGAGGTTTATGGGTTTTCCTCAAACTCATTGGCGACTCCTACTTGTTCCTTATAAAAAAGCGTGCATGATAGAATCATTTCTTATTCAAGGTCCCTAAACAGTCAGGAATTCAAATCCTAATACACCCTAACAAGTGTAAAGTCCTAGGCTTTTAAGGGGCCATGGGCATTTAAGGAGAGTAACCCTTACGATGGGATCACCCTCCTTACAGTGGCGACTCCACTGGGGACTTTACATGATTAGTTCGTAGTTATGGTCCAAAGTTTCCAACACCAAGTTGCCTATGGGTTGTAACGAGAGCTAACTTGGATAATCTCTAGTTAGAGAGCGAGACTTGAACGCATTATATCTTCCTTTTGCACAAAAGTAAAAACCAAACAAGCAACATTGCATCATGCATAAGTATAGCACACTCAAACATTGGGGATTGGCTCATTGACTAGGGGTTGCGGCCAACACTAGGCTTCTATCCCGAAATCAATAACAATCATCCCACCCATATCGCCAACAAAATGTTGGGAGGACGATGTCATAGGTCAACTCGTTGAGTGATAGATTTGTGCGTCGTTTCTTAAGATATGGTACCTTGGACACCCAAGACTTTTAACTTAGAATGGCAATACGTGAATCTTGACTTGTGGCATGCTTATGTGATTATGTGACTATATGAAACGTGTTAGGATAATCTTCTTTTTTTAGTTTGGTCTAGGTTCCCAATTACGAAGTCGTCTCTTTTTGATTTAGAGTCATATTCGAAGGGTAACATAAAAAAAAACAACAAAAAGCATAATGCAAAAAAAGGGAAAACAAAAAAAAGCGCTCGAATTAAAAAAAAATCATACGAGAAGGTGGCGCGCGCAACTCATTGAGTTGTGCGACCCCTCCTAGCACTAGTCATTTCGTTGCGCGTGACATCCGCGTGCAACTGAATCACTTGCACGCGTCCAGTGTATGAATCAATTTTAATTTTTCAAAGAACGAATTGACTCATCAAAACGATATCTTTATTCAAGAATTGTTAAGGGCGATGTCATCCGTTCGAATATATCTTGCGTCATTTTCTTTTTCTTTATTCCCCTTCTAAACAATCGTATCAGTTTACTTATTCTTTCGTACTTCGTTTCGGGCCGGTTTCCAATCTTGGGAAAGAAGACTCCCAGGCACTCGCCTTCTACGTTTACCATCCAAAGATCAATCCCTTTCAAACCATTTTTCTTCAACAACTGGTCCTAGTCCAACAACAATGTCAACCATTGAAGAACTTCAAGAGGAGATTCTTCGTTTGAGAGAGTAAAAGGCTTAAGAAGCCGAGGAGAAAAGAATTAAGAAAATTGAAAAGGCTAATAAGAAAAATGCTGAAGCCTTAGCCTTGCAAGAAAAGATGGAACAATTATCCATAAAAGAAAAGTCGTTGGAGAATCTAGTTCTTCATTCTACAATGGGGAACAAGTACTCCGACACAGAAAAGTTTGCTCCTCCCGCAGGACTTGCTTTACCAGAAAAGTTCGTAGCTACGGACTTGCCAATATTTAAGGTGACCAATAATCCACAAAATCATTTAATGTGTTTCACTAGCACCATGTCATTAAAGGGAGTTGATCCTAAGCTTTATGCTTTGACTTTCCCTTTATCTCTAGACCTAACCGTAAGAGAGTGGTACTATGGGCTAGATCCAAAATTCAAAGCAACATGGGGAGATGTAGTTTCGGCTTTCATTACCCAATATGAGAGTAACGTAGAGTTCAAATCCACTCTATGTGAACTCGAAATGCTAAAGCAAGGCGACGATGAAGGTTTCCTTGCTTTCTATGGTAGATGGCGAGTAAAGGCGTCCCACCTTGCCCAAAGGCCACCCGAAATCAAATTAGTACATAAATTCATTGACAACTGTCATGAAAAGTACAAAAAACATCTACGTTACCTTGGTTTAGACACTTTTCAAAAGGTCTATTCAGTGGCTACTAGGATTGAAGATGATCTTGCTAAAGAAAAAGCAAATAAACCCCATCATCATCATCAACCTAAAAATAACTACAATAAGGGGAATGATAGCACATCATCCTTTATTGACGTATTTGCGACCTCCACTCAATACAATAACACGAATCAATATAATGATCCTAGGAAAAGATGGACAAGAGAAAGAAAATTTACTCCATTTCCTGTGAGCTATAAAGAATTGCTAGATAAATGAAATGAAAAAGGTTTACTTGCACCAACAGGACCAACACCACCCACTCCACCAGAAAGAAGATTTGCTAATTGGGATGGTAATGCTTATTGCGCTTATCATAGAGGCAATGGACACGATACTGAACGTTGCTTTGTCTTAAAGCATAAAATACAAGATTTGGTAGACGATGGGAGAATTCCCACGCCTAAACCTAAAAATAATGCGTCCCCCTTAGGGGTGTTTCACATCAATGAGGACCATATAGGAAGTGATAGGTTCAATCCTTTGAACTATATCACACCTATAGGAGAACCTCTATACACAATAATCATAGGGGAAACTAATGAAGTATGTGGAATATGGGATGACAACTTTCAAGACTTATATGTCTCTAAGTATGCCGCCGTCCCACCTCCATCTTATTTACAAAATGAAACAAATGGAGCACTTGATTGAGATCATTTCTTGGGGAAGTCAAAAGACTTATCAAATCTCTCCTTGGATGAACAATGACATCAAGCTCAACTCATGGAACATCTTGAAATGGAGGCACGCTCAAAGCCTCTAGAAGAAAGTTGGTTTATGAGCCCTACAACTAATCCAAACGAGATAGATCATCTAACTCGTTCTGGGCGAGTTTACCAAGCACCACCACCAAATGGATCTTCGACCACACAAAATCAAATTCAAGGTCAAATGAAAAATACAATACCACCTCCACTTGAGGTGGAAGATCCATTGGTCAAACAACTTCGCCAATCCAAGGCAAATGTTAGCATTTGGGAACTCTTAAGTACTTCTAAAGAACATAGGAATTCCCTTATGAATGCTCTGACGGCTTTGTCTGTAAGCACAGACACAACCCCTCAAGATCTCGTTAGCTTGCTTACTAGCGAGAAATATGACAAATTAATCATTTTCACTAATGATGATTTGCTTTCAAAAGACACTACCCACAACAACGCATTATATTTAACCGTGGGGTGCAAGGGATACAACATCCCTCTAACTTTGGTAGACAATGGGTCAGCTGTAAACGTGTGCCCATTGCGAACTGCAAAATACTTAGGCCTTAATCCAGAAAAAGATTTTTGATCAACAACACAAAGCATTAGGGCCTATGACAATCCGAGAAGATCGGTGTGTGGAACTGTTAAGCTACCAGTTACCACAGACCCAATACAAAAGATGGTTAAATTCCACGTTATGGACATAAAACCTACATTCAACCTTCTACTTGGACGTCCTTGGATACATGAGCTTGGTGCAATACCATCCTCACTTCATCAAATGATTAGGTTGAACTATCAAGGGCTTCCTATGACTATACATGCTTCTCCAC